ACAAAAGGGATATGCCGAAGTAGCACCGAAAACAAGCACACCGGGGAGGACATGGTACTTACCCCACTTCGATGTTCATAACCCGATGAAGCCAGAGAAGTTCCGAATAGTACACGATGCCGCAGCCAAAACAAAAGGGGTGGCATTGAACGACTCACGGGTCCAGACCTATTGCAATCACTACCAGGGGTTATGATGCGTTTTCGCCGCCATAATATCGCTGTCTCCGCAGACATAGCGGAGATGTTCATGCAAATAAAAGTCAGACCCGAAGACAGAGATGCCTTAAGATATCTCTGGAGAGGAGATCGACGCAATGAGGCTCCACAAGAATATAGAATGACGTCGATCATATTCGGTGCAGCTAGCTCACCCTGCACAGCCATATTCGCAAAGAACTGGAACGCCAAAAGGCACATAGATGAATATCCAGAAGCCATAGAAGCTATCATCCAAAATCACTATATGGATGACTATCTGGACAGTTTCTAGTCATTGGAAGAGGCAATGCGAATATCGAAGGAAGTACGCGACATACACAAAAACGCGCACTTCACATTAAGAAAATGGGTTTCCAACGCGCCAGAAATTATAAAAGAATTAGAACCTGACCAAGAAACCGCTGAGTCAGTCGACTTGGGCAACAAGGGAACCGAAGAGAAAATACTCGGATTAATCTGGAAACCGAGTACCGATCAGCTGAGCTTCAACTTAAAGCTCGCTCGACTTCCGATTGATTTGCTTCATAAAACACCAACCAAGAGGGAAGCACTCAAAATAGTAATGTCGCTGTATGACCCGCTCGGCCTCGCCTCCCCAGTTACGATACGAGCAAAACAAATACTGCAAGAAGCATGGAGACGAGGAACAGACTGGGACCAGGAGTTGGACGAAGACCTGACTAAACAGTGGTCCACATTGATCCAACACCTGGAACGACTCAAATCAGTAAGCATCCCAAGATGCTACCCGGGATTCAGCGACGCACGTTCACTCCAAGTACACGTGTTTACCGATGCCAGTGAGAGCGCCTACGCAACGGCAGTCTACTGGAGATCAACGACACCCGATTGGCAAATACACGTGAGCCTCGTCATGGCCAAGGTGAAGGTAGCTCCGCTCAAAGTAACATCTATACCTCGCCTCGAGGTACAAGCAGCCGTGATGGTAAGTCGCGTAGCTGCTGCCGTCATCCAGGAGCATGGCGTAAAGCCCGAAGCTGTCACATATTGGACTGACAACAAAACTGTCCTTACCTGGATAAAAAAGGGGTCCAGAAATTATAAACCTTTCGTTGCACACAGAATAGCAGCGATCGAGGACCATACTAAAGTGGATGACTGGCGCTGGGTACCTACCAAATTAAACAAATCTGACACCGCTACGAGGGACGTGCCACCAAACTTCGACTCCAATCACAAGTGGTACAACGGCCCATCGTTTCTTTACAAAGAACCGTTAGCATGGCCGACCGAAAAACCCACGTCATCCGAACCGACCGGTGAAGAAAGATCCTTCACCATTACAGAATCGCATAAAGTGAAAGTGCCGTTATTCAGAGAAGCCATTCCCGATCCAGTAAAGTTTTCGAAATGGGAACGTTTATTGCGAGCGACGGCCAGAGTGCTTCAGTTTATTACACTCTGCCGCAAAACAACACACAGGACCTTTTACAAAAGGACCAAAAGGAGTATAGAGAAAGATCCCGACTGGAGGAAATCGAAAACTAATCCGCGACACCTCGCGCAGCCTCCCAGTCGAGTGAAAAATAGAGATGCAAATAAATACATCACGCTCAAGGCCGAATTCATTAGAGAGGCCGAAAAGCTCCTAACACGTGTCATCCAAGAGGACTCCTTCAAACGAGAGAGCCGATCTACATAAAGACGTAAAGGTCACCCATGATAGCCGCCTACGACCGCTCCAAATAGAGTTGAAAGACGGGATCATCGCTCTACAAAGTCGCATAGCCGCCGTGAAGGGAGTCTCGGAAGACATGAAAGGGCCAGCTATATTGGATGGTGATCATTACATCACTCAATTGTACATAGACTGGACGCATCGTAGCCGCCCGCATCATTGTGGAACCAAACCCACCATCAACGAGGTTCGACAGCACTATTGGGTAATCCGACTTAGACCCACCACGAAAAGAATAGTGAGCCAATGTGTACAATGTCGCGTCAGAAAGGCGCAACCATCCGTGCCAGCCACCGGTGATCATCCCAGCACACGTCTCGCTCATCACCAGAGACCGTTTACTTTCACCGGTCTGGACTATTTTGGGCCACTCTCCGTCACAGTGGGACGTCAACACCAGAAGAGATACGTGGCTCTCTTCACCTGCCTCACATCCAGAGCTGTCCATTTAGAAGTTGTCGCAAATCTCAGCGCAGACTCTGCCATACTGGCACTGAGAAGATTTGCGGCACGCCGAGGGTGCCCTACAGAAATTTACTCTGACAATGGCACCAACATGCACAGCGCAGACAAGGAACTTCGAGAGGCTTTTCGAGAAGAAGCCAGCCGACGAGGCATAGTGTGGCGTTTTATAACCCTCTCCGCGCCCTTTATGGGAGGGGTATGGGAACGTCTGGTACGATGCGTGAAGACGGCGCTATACACCGTCCTTCATGAAAGACGTCCACATGAAGAAGTTTTAACCACGCTGCTCTGCAAGGTGGAGTACACAGTAAACAGCAGACCATTAACTCACATCTCTGTAGACAGCAACGACAACGAGTCCATCACTCCGAATCACTTCCACTTGGGAGGATCTGCGAGACTGCCGACGCCTGGAGTATTTAATGAAAAGGATATAGATAGCAAAAGACACTGGCGACGCTCCCAGATACTCGCTGGTATGTTCTGGCAGCGTTGGGTCAGAGAATATCTACCGGAACTTCAAAACCGGCGGGAGGCCCATGGTCGAGGCGATCCAGTCCTCATAGATGACGGCCAGTTACCTCGTAACACCTGGCCACGAGGAAGGATTGAAGCTGTATACCCCGGTGCGGACGGACAGATCCGCACTGTGAAGGTACGCACCGCAAACGGCCTAATCAAGAGGCCAACCAGGAAACTCGTGCCGCTGCCGAAATAGAAGCAACGTCGCTCACCGAAATGGATGCAGCGCCACTGCGATGAGATCTTCGCGACGCTGCACGGCGGGAGAGATGTTCGCGACGGCCTAAAGACTTTAAACAAAAAGTGATGAAAGAATATTATTTTGTATAAAAAGTGAAATTACTAACGAAATCGAGTAAATAGTTTATTAATATAGTTTTACAGTGTGTTTACAACTCTTAATATATTTGTATAGAATATCGTTTTAATAATAGTTGATATAAACAACTTTAAGCATTTAAGAAAAATTCGCGTCATATCGTAGAACTTTCTGGAAGTTTAATTAACTGCGCAATAGTTTGTACTGAAAATAATAAGAATATTTTTGTGTTCTAAAAGAGTTGTAAATATGATATTTAGTTAGCATATGGTATGTAGATTGCGATAGTGAAGAAATATTTTGTATAATTAAACGCATTTGGTAGTTATAAAAAAATTTAAGATTTAATGTACACATTTGTTATGAAAATTTGGTACATTTCGTTTTATAACTTTTTTAAATATTAATGTATTGAATAACCTTTATCACATACTGATAAAGGACCAAAATGCCTATTTAATGATGTATAGCGTGTTAATGTAAAAATTAGCCTTGTATAGAAAATATTGCGATTTGTGCTAATTACATAATGAAAATGTTTAAAAATAAAGAGGCAAAACGGAAAATGGCAAGCGGCTCTCTATACAGTATAGCCGAATATAAGGTAGACTTATGGGGGCAAATCCCAGTAAAGTTGTAGTAGGAAGAACTACCAGTGACAAGCAGTAGTATCCGGTAGTAGGTGAAGTGACTAGTAGCAGAACATAGTGAACAGTTATAGTGAATTAGAAAAAGTTTAGCTAGCCGAAAAAGGTCGTAACTGAAAATTGCAGTTACGCATAGCCGAAAAAAGTGGCAACTGAAAATTCGCAGTTGCATATAGTAAAATAGTGTTAGCTAGCCGAAAAAGGTGGTAACTGAAAATTAGCCGTTACATATAGTAAAAAGTGTTAGCTAGACGGAAAAGGTGGTAACTGATATTCGCAGTTACACAAGTGTTAAAATCAACTAGTTTTAGTTGATTAATAGCTGCTCGTCAGTAGTGTTAGAAAACCAGCTACTACCAATAGATATTTTGATACTACTAATAGATATTTACATACTACCAATAGATATTTTGATACTACCAATAGATATTTTCATACTACCAATGGATATTTTCATACTACCAATAGATATTTGATATTACCAATAGATATTTTAATACCAATAGAAATTTTAATATTACCGCGCAATATTAATTGAATCTTTTGAAATATATAGTGACCAACCGATAGTGAACAACCGTAGTTGAACAACCGTGTTCAACAACCGCGGTCAATAAATAAATATTTATAAAATTTCGCGACTAATTAATCAGTCGAACCGCTGCTACCCTACCCTTGCTATTTAATTTATAAATCGTGCATTTTAATTTTGAACCTCAGTCCACAGTTTTCCAGCAGCACACACAGAGACGGCAGTGAAAGTATCCTCCGGAACCTATAGGTGTAGGACGTGAGCGACTCGCGGAGTATCTTCGACAACATTTACTCCAGAGAGTTACGACCGTCCAGCACAAAAATATTAATAATTGTATAATATTTGAGAAATAGAAAGGTCGCAATCATATAATGTTAGGCCATGAAATATTTTAATACAATGTCAATAAAAGCTAATTACTATCCTATCCCTTTCCACACGAGTTAAACAGATCGTGAGTTTCGACTTTACAAAATTCTAAGGAAAAATATAAACAACTTAAGCGGACGCAACCGGCGTCGATCTATTGTGAGTCTACTTAAAAATGAGACAAAAAATAGTTTTAATCTCTGCTCGCGCGTTTCGTCCTGCCAGATCGTCGAAAACCGCATGAGGGATGGCTGCGTTTTTTAATCCCGGTGCCCCCGCACGTAAGTAGATCGACTTTTAGTCATTGTATTGGAATATTTCATATTATTTGAAGCTATTTGATTAGGTACGAGTGCTCGTAGGTTTACTTATCAAGATTTTGCAAATTGAAACACTACTTTCGTAATTATTTTCTGTCAGAATTGAACACGCACGATCATGCAACATCGGTCGTAGCACGTGATGTTAAATTTTGTTATTTTGATCCTATACAGTGTTTAAATAGCCTTTTCTTCTTTATTAGGGAATCCAATTACGGATGATGTAGTATTACACCAATTGATGAACGGAAATCTATCGGAGATTGAAGATTTTGATGATGACGACTTGGAATTTGAACCAAACACCCTATTTGATCAATTGGCTTGCGAAAATCTCTTCGATGGTGACAACCCTAATGAAGATGAAGAAACAAGACACCAAACATCACTATTGAAGTGTCCTCCGGTGGTGCAACCTCCATCTAGATTGACGCCGCAAAATCCTGCTTCATTAATGACGCAACATCCTCCTCCACCACAGACGCAGTCTCCATCAACCATGCAACCGTCTTGCCCATCATCCACGTCGCGTCGTTATCGAGAAAGGTCAGTTTATTTATCCTCTGAGCGATCGAGATAAATCCCCGACTGCCTATGTATTGGAGGGCTGGTACTAGCTTGGAAATTGTCAGCGGTTTAATTTCACGGGACAGGTTCTTTACCCTTCGCAATTCATTACACGTAGTTGACTCAGATTCTCCATCTGCATCCGAAATTGGTAATCCACTATGGAAGGTTCAACCTATGATCGACCAAATTAAAGGTGCCTGTAGTCAATTAGAAAGGGTGCCGGGATTTTACTCGATCGATGAGCAGATGCATTTACAGGCCGCTGTCAACTTCACCAGGTAGTGAAGAACAAACCTAGGCCTGTGGGGATTAAAAACTTCGTCCTCACAACTAGTGAAGGATTAATGTTAGATTTTGAAATACACAGGGGTGCAAGGACGATGTTTGGTGATACGAATCTTGGTCTGGGTCCTTCGGTAATCTTACATCTAGCTAAAAGTATTCCCCCAGGTAGCTGTGTAAATCTGCATTCGACTGGGACAATAATGTTAAATCGTATCGCTGACCGAGCTACAATAAAATTTAAAATGGATTCTCAAATGACTCGTGGTGAAAGCCAACATTTTGTTCGCCAACCTGTTACAATAGTAAAGTGGAACGATAATAAATCCGTATTACTTGCATCCAACTGTACTGGCCCTGCCGCGACAATTATCGTTAGAAGGTGCGATAAAACCATTAGACGGTATGTTGATGTGACTGCTCCAAAAATAGTAAAAAATTATAATCAACACATGGGAGGAGTTGATGTCCTGGATCAACAGATGGAGTGTTATAGAACTTTTATAAAAACAAAAAAATGGACCTTAAAATTGTTAACACACTTATGACCTCGCGCTCGTAAACTGTATAGAAACGACTGCAACAGAAATAATTATGCAAGGAAAGACACGATGCGTTTACTCGATTCCCGCTTGGATGTGGCAGATGCCTTATCTTGTACACCAAGTAGAACTCGAAGGGATCTCGCGTCGCGACTATAAATAAAATATACAGACCAGCAAATAGACCGTCAGCAGAAAAACGATATAATGGGTATGAACATTTCCCCACCAGCGACGACATAAAAGCGCCGGGGACTTATAGATTGGAAACCTGCAGCAGTCGTTCAAAAATTAGGTGTTATAAACGTAATGTGTATTTATGCTTACCCCGTGATAAAAACTACTTTAAGGCTTATCATATACAATAATAAGTCGATCTCATTGATTGTAATATGTTAAACCTAAGATCATGTTAATTGTTGAAGTAATTATAGTTTATTTTTGGTCGGATTATAGAAATTAAGAAGATCATTTGTAATATGTGATTTTATAAATAATTACAGTTTATTTTTATATACTTGTAATACAGACTGATTAAAGTAATAGGAAAACATAAATATTCATATTTTATTTTAATTGATGTTGATTATTTCATTTATTTGACCTAAATCATTCATTATTTACATACACTCACGATCGTGCGACTAGCAAATTATTCCTGAGCCTCACATATGTGAGGGTCTGATTGCTGAAGACCAGCTTCCTTGTGATTTTTTTCAGTAATTTTTCCATGACATCTGAACAGTTTCGAAACGTATTCTAAGTTCTTACTAATGTGTGCGAGTTTTTTAACTCCCGGTTGCAAAGGGCTATATAAGTTGTTGAATTATTAATTGTCATGTCATCGAAAAATATATAAAAAAGTATGTCAATTTCATCGTGCTGAGTGTGTACCTATATCCCTTATAAGTGATAATGCTCGATTTGTTGGTGCAGAGGCAGCACGTTTGGTGCGTATAACTGGTCTATCTTGGAGACGCATCCTACGGCGCGGAGCCACCGTTCCTCCATTATCTCTCTGCAGGTACCTGGGCACCAACAAACCGATTGTCTCCATAACCAACTGGCAGTCCAACTTGTGGTGAATTATAAAGAGATAGTAAATAATAGTTGGGCTGAGTGATGATTTTTCTGTATCAACGTCTGCATAAAAATGACAAAAAAATATCGATGACGGGAACAATGACAAAATCATCAATGATTTTTATTTCAGTATAAGATCACGGCACTTAAATTACGAGTAATGAGTAGATATTAAAATGATCGCGGAACGGTTTGATGGCTTAGTGACTTTATTGTTAGTCATTTAGTAGTACGCATGGGTAGACTTTGTGAGTTAGCCCGCGAAATTATATTTTTCTTATTTTGCGATATTGATGGCAGTGTATATAGGTATTGATTTATAATCATGGAAATCATCGAAATGTATCCATTAGTGATATTTGCTGCAAGATAATTATTATTATGAAGTATTTAATGGCAATCTGGCGTTCTTGCAAGTAAATGCATGGTGTAAATACTTGTGTGTAAAAACGTGGTGGTCTAATCCAAACAATGACTCACGAAATACTAAATAAATGCTAGCGCACTACTCTGAGTTCGCGCGCAAACGTAAATAACGAAGTGAAAGCATTGCTGCTATACAGTAATCTATGATTGCAGTCGCAACGTCGCAATTCAAACCGCAGCGCCCGTGCGAGATGGCCCGAGCGAGATGGCCCGTCCGATTCCGAATCACCGAAGTTCGCGTTCATTCATTCGATTCGAGTAATGGTTTAAAAGCATTGAAGATTTTGTCGTTGTCATTGCATGATGAAATTATTTTAAAATATCGATGATTTTAACATGTGACATAATATCCGACTCATCTCTAGTCTTGATGTCACCCTCCTACACATTAAGGTTTCGGAATCAACCATACCCAAGACGAATAAAGAATAGAACCCATGACTTCTTATAAAGCCTTCTTATAAATTTCAGCCCACAGCTGCATACACAACTTTACTTCGAATATACGCATTATACAAAGTTTTAGCCACCCTTATATCATAAAAGTCAGCCGCAATTCTTACCACAAAACCCAAAGTCTTATTAGCTAACTTGCAAATGGATGGCATATGATTGTGAAAATCTAATTTAGTATATAATATTAAACCTAAGTTATTATTTATTTTGTGTTCTTAGCAAAGGCGCGTCATATAAGTTATAATCAATAATGATAGGATTCTGTTTTAATGCAAAAGTGATAACCTTACATTTAGTCTTATTAAGAGAAAGATTGTTCACTTCACTTCATTCCGATACCACATCTATGTCCTGTTGAAGAGCCTGAGCATCAGCAGCACTGCCAATCTCCAAACTTTTAGATCATCTGTGAATAATAGACACTTCGAAAATTTTACTTTGGTACACAAGTCATTGATAAAAATTAAAAACAGAGTAGGGCCAAAGGTACTACCCTGACTCATACCAGATCTAGTAAAATAATCAGCGGATTCGAAACCACCCTCTCTAATAAATTGACGACGATTATCCAAATAGCTAGCAAAGACTTGAAGAAGCATTGGAATAAAACCCAATTTAGCTAGCTTCTGCAATAAATAGTAAGTTATTAATCACCAGGTTAAAAGTCTTCCTAAAATTGAAATATGGGGCATGCATTGTCGATGTGTACTATCAGGTTAGCGATGACCTGTCTTTTAGAATCCATCTCTGCACAGACATAGTCCACGTGTGCTATCAGGTTAGTATTCGTTGCACGATTTTTTCAAAACCCATGTTGACTGTCATGCAAAATGTTATCTAACTGTTTGCTAATGCGGAAGTTCAATATGGTATTTAAATATCTCCGCCAGAACCGAAAGTACCGCAATATGTCTAAAAGCAGAAACAGCCTTTCCAGGTTTCCTCTTTGGAACAGGTGTCACCCTAGATAGTTTTCAATGGTCTGGATATATAGAATGTCTAAAGGAAAGATTAAAAATGAAGAAGAGCGGTAATCCAAGAGCTGGCGCACAATCCTTGACAAGAAAAGCAGGAATGCGGTTAGGGTCACCAGCATGTCGTAGATTTAGGCATGTTATTATATCTAAAATCACTATCGTCTACTTGCCTGACTGAGATAGGCATCAGGTTTACTTGTGAATTAGCCACACTTTCGGTATCTACATATTTCAATAGGGGCTTTTCATTACGAAATACTCAACAAAAATATTTAGCAAAGGCATTAGCCGCATTTTAACCTGTTACCTTTTTACCCCTATAACTGTACGTTTTAGTATGTCGTCTATCATACTTTTTATCATTAACATATTTCTAAAAAATACCGCATCGTCAATTATCCTTTTCTGTATCAACTTAAGGTGCTGCTCATATGCGCTGTCAATTAAGATTTTAAACAGTTTTTTGTTCAATAATTTACCTTCTTACTTAAATCTCTTCAGATGAAAGTATTTTTTTATATTTTCTATGATCTCAGGGGCGAACCAAATGGGATGTTAATACTGGTGTTTATTTGGTATATATAAATTAATAATTCCTTTCAATTTGTTGTGAAAAAAATCTACGGCCGAATTTACGTCTGTAAAAGTCATTAAATCGGACCAATATAGACCTTAAACGTCAGCCTTACGCCAATTCCACTCAACATCTTACCATCAGATGGACTTTAAGTATCTAATTTTTCGTGTCAAATAACTTTACTCCTACACTAAGATTTTCTTCTATATCGTGGAGACAGTTTACAAACATAAATTGCACAAGGAAAAACATCCAGACCCGGAACAATTATTTGAAAGCTATTCAAATACTTGTTCCGTGCGGGATTCAAACTCCAAGCGTTGCAAACTCATTGCTAGATCACTGAGCCACGGCAGTGCCGGATTAACCACGTAGCAAGAGTAGCAATTGCTACGGGCCCCGTGCAAAAGGGCGACCCGCGTATCCAAACCTGAACATCACTGCCTAAGCGTAATTTTTTCAGTGAAATTTAATAAGACGTGGTATATTGAATTAACTTGATGTCACAAAAACGTGAAACGTTACACTATTCTCGACTAAGACAATCAGTAAACGATTATTTCATTGGCGAAAATAAAACACAAAATTTCATTCGGTAGATGCACAAGTTTCAACGCCCACCACGACGAATGGCTTGGTACTCGTACTACTGATCATGCGGGAAGATCTGCTTACGACTTTGCCTTGACATATGGTCTGACACAACTGGTCACTTCGCCCACGTGCATACAAGATGTGGAGGATCATCCGGACGGATATCGGGTCTCCGTCGATGCCCCTCTTGGCTCTTAGGATCACTGCCTGTTTTGGAGTACAGCGCCCATCACTTGCTCATTGCAGGCACGATCTGTAGGCTGCCGCCGTCTGTTGTTTAGCTCAGCGGATTGGGATTCGATGCGAGCTTTTTATGCATCCTACCCATTAGAGCGGATTTGCTACTCGCTGGATGATCCAATAAAAATCGTTGTTGAGTCTGTCGCCGATGTGGTGCTTGAGGAGATGGACTTTTTCATCCCATCATCTGTAGTGCCTATCGGCGGCAGATCCCAGCCTTGGTTTGGACACTCCTGCAAAATTTGCGTCGCAGAAAAAGCAAAAGCAGAGTGTTACAAGACGTGGGCTGAAGTATCGCCGTCCCGGTATGCAAACACTAGTGCACACAAAAATAAGTACAAATCTGCCTCTAGATCCTTCAAAAGAGTTATCACTAGGGCAAAGTCGGAGCACATTGGGAGAATTGGCGAAAATTTAGTTCGCCTTCCTTCAGGAACTCATGCGTTCTAATCCCGGAAGTTTTGTAAGCTATCGTTACCATCTTTAAGAGGGAGGATGATTCGCTGGCCCACGCCGCAAAAAAGAAGAAAGCAGATCTTTTAGGTTCTCTTTTTGCGTCCAACTCGACTCTTATCGATGCGGGAACATACCAATAATATACGTGTGAGTGCCTCGATGGCAACAAATCGAGAAGGCCTGATGGATTCCCCCAGATTGTGCTGAAGACGTGTGCTCAATAGTTGACACTAATTTTTACACATCTTTTCCTGTTCTCTTACTCTTTATACGTCGTTTCAGGCTCATAGAAGACAGCCTTAGTGCATCGGATACTTAAAAAAGGTGACCGCTCGAACCCGTCCAACTACAAGCCTTTGGCTATATTCTTTAAAATAATTCCGTCACGTCCTTGTTCTCCAAAATAATGGAATCTATTATTAACTGTCAGAGCAGAGATGCATCTGCATGAGCTGGCAGCATGCAAGATCATTAGCTGATAATTGATCGTCAATACGGTTTCCGGTGAGGTCGTTCAGCTGGTGGTCTTCTTGTCTGCCTGCCTTACCGATGGCCGAAGGCAGTCAAGATCAAGGGGGAGGCACAAGCGATTAGTTTGGACATGGCGAAGGCTTTCGATGGGATTTGGCACAAAGCGCTTTCGAAGCTTCCCTCTTATGGGCTTCTCGAGAAATTATGCAATTGGGTTACTAGTTTTCTTACAGATCGGATTATTAAAGGTAGAGTCTTTGTTGAACA